AATTTACGTATTTCAGGCAAATACGCAGCTTATGGAACTCTGTAAAACCAGTCTAAGTATATAAGTGGCCATGCTCGTCAATTGTATCCGCAAATAGCAACGGCATGTTAACTGTTTGCCAGACAAGTCCCTTTAAAGTGCTACGAATTACAGTTGAGTGCGCAGCTATATATGTGGAGTATGGCCGTGTTTATGTTGCAACTAGAGATAACGCGTGTGCATGCTTCATGTATACATGTACATCTGGAGATAGCCTCCTTTCCATAGCCTAACCAAATACACATCATGTCAAGCTAAAATACCGTTACGATGGCGTACCGTTAACCCTTGCAACGTCTAAACAGACCGCCGTTCGGCGTTAACGGTAAATCGTATATCCTGATCTCCTTGATCAAAGGCGCCATTCTCGTAAATCACATGTGTGATAGATATGATGTATATATTTAAGACATGAGATAAATTTCTTCATGAATGTTTCAGCAGATGGTAATATGCTTAACTAATTAGAGAGCTTACATAAACTCTGTTTTTGAACATGACTCCATTTTATCAATCTTTGTGTACATAGATACATCATTTTGGAAGTTACTGTTTTGCGTGCAGACGTAACCTGACGTTATTTTAAGGCGACTTAAGGAGATCAGAAGCTCGGCTACAGCAGATGTGAAAACGAGTATCTCTTGTCAAAACATTACCTTGAATTCAAGAGGAATGCAGGTGATCCGCGAAGCAATTTGGGATCCCGAAATTTGGCTTTTTCTGATCCTTGGTGAAATATTGAAGTATGAAAAAGAAAATCAGGTGAAGGAACAGTAGGCCTGATATAACACAGTAAGTTAGGGATGTTTACATGGATATAGCACCGTCGTAAATCTTCGTTCGCGAACCTGATGCAGTGGGGAAGCCTTCTGGTTAAAGCGTTCGCTCGTCACGCCGAAGACCCGGGTTCGATTCCCCACATGGGCACATAGTGTGAAGCCCATTTCTGGTGTCCCCCCTCCCGTGATGTTGCTGGAATTTTGCTAAAAGTGGCGTAAAGCTAAACTCACACACTCACTCGGCCGTGAACCAAGGCCAAGCATGTTCTGTGGTAGCCTGAAAAGGGATCCTATCGTATATTGGGTGCACCAGGGATCACCGGGATCTGGTCTGGGATTGTACACCAAGGGGAGTTGGTTTAAAGTGGGATTATAATTTCTGTCACTTCTTCAAATATATTTCTCTACAAGGAAGAACAAATTTACATCAAAACATCTATATCGAGTTTTCCCGTCTGAGGCAAATAAAAATACAAGCCAAAAATATGAGCACTGAATTGGCATGACAATATACCCTCAACGCTTTTAGGACGGGTGTTTGATAATAAATTCTTACTAACATGATATCAGTTACAATACAAACTGTGGATCGTATGACTGAGTGAGTGAGTGAGTGAGTGAGCGAGCGAGTTTAGTTTTACGCCGCTCCATTATTCCAGCTATATGGCGGAGGTCACTAAATATTCGAGTCTAGACCAGACAATCCAGTGATCAACAGCATGAGCATCGATTTACGGAAATGGGATACGATGACATGTGTCAACCAAGTCAGCGAGACTGACCACCCAATCCCGTGAGTCGCCTCTTATTGCAACCATGGGTTATTGAAGATCAATTCTTTCCCGGATCTTCACGGGTAATATGAGTGAGTGAGTGAGTTGTGAACGACGCTTTGAACAGGATTCCAGTCATATCACGGTGTGTCTGGTTAATGTTCGAGTAAAGCGCAAAGTGGCCTAAATCGGTACTATAGTCCGTTTGGCGCAAAATCGGACCGATGAATTGCAATCTAATTCGAAAACTAATAAACATATAATACCCAATGAAACGCTGGTATCATAATCAAAACATCAGACCAACTCTGTGATTTGTTTGCAGAATTTATGTCCTACAATTAAAAAAGTTGTTTAACAAACTATCATTAAACTTTTGACACTGTTCACTATTTGTTACGAGGGAGGAGTGCAGAGAAAAGGCAAAATTGCCTCTGTTCAGCCAACACCCGTGAAGATTCGGGTTAGAATGTACCTTCAGTAACCCATGCTTGTCGTAAGAGGCGACTAAAGGGATCGGGTGGTCAGGCTTGGTTGACACATATCATCGGATCCCAATTTGCGCAGATCGATGCTCATGATGTTGATCACTGGATTGTCTGGTCCAGACTCACTTATTTACAGACCGCCGCCATATAGCTGTAATATTGCTGAATGCGGCGTAAAACTAAACTCACTCACTCACTGTTCACCCAACAGTAAATGGGTACCCTGTTGAATAAGATGGTCATGACTGTTGGCCTTCGATCACCTCACATTTGCGTTAACCGGGGTAATAATGTCTGCACTTTGCGCACAATGTGTCCTAAGCGCAGTTGAGCATCTTTGTGCTGGATCTTAAGCGTTCTACAAATGTATTACATTTATATAATATATATCCCTTGTAGCATAGAAAACACAAGTATCACCTCGGTAAATGAACATTTATTATTACAAAAGTATTCATACAAAAGACTGGCGCTCAGTATTGTCAACCAACAATCAATATCTTTGTTTGTATATCCTAACAAGTCACAAATGTGAACGAACCAATGTCTATCTCTTGTTTAATAAAAGTAACTTCCGAGCAAACTGTTTCCAGTTTTCGATTCAAAAAGCGTCACTCCACGAGTGCCTTTAGTTGCTTGGAATATACGTACCCAAACAGGATTCAATGTGAGTATTTATGAATCCGGGTCCCGGTCCACAAAGCGTTCATAAAGTTACGACTTGTCGTAACTCCATACTTAACCATAAGCTTATGAATGTCGTAATGGTACGAACGCTTTGTGGATCGGGAACCAGGTCATGATACTATGCACACTCCGGCACAGCGATGACTAACATAACATCACTGCCACAGGCTAATTTGCATATCACGTGACCAGACTTTTCTCTTGTTTGTAATCAAACGCGCATATTCATAATAATAAGAGACTGGTCTTAGGCAAGCTTTTCGGCGCTGTCTTCATAATGTTTTACATTGTTACATATATATTATTCCACAATTGCGACAGTTAGGTCTATGACAGTACATATTTAGATATCAAACTGGCTGCATCGTTTGCTCTCCGTCGGCTTCGATGACAGCACGTGGAGCCGTACAACCTATTTAAACAAAGGATCGCTTCGCAAATCGAAATAGTGTTACATGTTTTTGGATATTTTCTCAGTGAAACTAAACCATTCTATTAAAGATGTTTAGTTAGATGTGTAGACTCGTCAAAAATATAACAGTAAAGGAAATCTGTACATTATATTGAATGGACATTGCAAGATGTGACGAATCGTCACATTTTTCTGGCCTGTGGCAGAGGTACTATGCTGGCTTGCCGCATGGAACTCTGGGTAGGAGAGTGGATACTATGTAATTTGGTTCCCTGCATCAAAGGATTTTGTAACGATTCAATAGTGTATTTGTGTCAGTGTTGCACCAGGAAACACTGGAGGGCATGTGGCAAGATGGCTGATAAAATGCAGACACCTCAGGTTTAAACAACGTCTGTGCATTCGATCCTGCTATCTCTGCACATTTTCAGATCTTTACCGCACTCTTCTGGGTCGGAGGAGCCTTCTGTGTGATCGTCTCTTTCTGGAAGAATGACGTCTTTCACCTTTTCAATGACGTCACTAGTGCAAGTCGTGACGTCATCTTCACACACAGGTGTAATTTCTGCCCCGCTACCACACTGTCTAATACCCGAGGGAGAATCTGGATTACTGTTGTCCTTCACTACCCCATTCACAACCCCTGGGGCAGAACACGCCCTTCCCCCAGCACAACTGTTCCCATTAATCATATCACACTGTTTAAAAGAAGCACTGATGTCGTCAACATGCGTGTTATGTGAAACTTCCGGCCGTTTATCTCCCTTTGTCTCGGACGACTTGGAAGTCACGTTGCTGTTCACGAGGCTTTTAGTGCCGGGTAGATTTTTTGGAGAGTTAATACCAGTAGAGGAAGCATTCGGGGCGTGACCCGTCACGTGATCATGAGAGGAAAACACGTCATCAACCTCGTCTGTGTCCGAATCAAGATGGTCGTCAGTCGGAGAGGAAGTAGCAAACAGACCTCGCTCTGAAACATAGAGACACTGGCTAATCATTGGTAGAAAACAATCATAAACAACGCATTACGTATTTTAGATCTTCACACAACATGAATGGTAACATGGCCCATATCCTGCCTGGACCCCCAACGTGCAAAACAGAGTCTCCAGTGAGTCAGGGGCGGCGGGGTAGCCTTGTGGTTAAAGCGTTCGCTCGTCACGCCGAAGACCAGGGTTCGATTCCCTACATGGGTACAATGTGTCAAGCTAATTTCTTGTGTCCCAGCCGTGACATTGCTAAAAGCCAAAACTTACTCACTCCAGCGAGTCTAGAAATACAGACTTGTGCCACTGATCAAGGCGGACGTGTCCATATAAGTGTTGTGTGACTGTTATACAAAACTGCACCTACCTATGTTCTGGTCGGATATACTGGATCCCAGGCTCTCGTCGTCTGCTCCTACGCCCGGTTCCCGCGGAAACATTAGCAGGATCTTCTGTCGTCTGCTCTCATGGATCTCCTCCGAGATTCCCTCCAGGTGGCGTAGTGAATCAGAGTACCTCGCCTTGGAAGATCGTATAGCGTTCTGAAGATCATCAATGTTCTGCTTCTGTTGCTGAGAGAGAAAATATGACAATGAATGAATGACGTATCTCGCTTGTCTCGAACCATGATTAAGTCGATTTTCTAGAAGGAATATATAATGACTCACATCGTTCGGGATAACGAAGTGGCAAGGATAACTTGCGGGAAAGAAAGTAGGCCTACTCTAAGAATATTCATGACAGCTCTTGGTCATGATGGTCAGTTGCTATGTTGCTATCATTCGAGACATCTCTTTCACATGCTACATACTTTTAGAAAGTTAACTCGGATGGAGAGTGGTTCGGCGTTTTAGGACAGTATTCAATAATACACCCCATGCAAGTCTAGAATATGTGAAAAGTCTAGCATACCACAGAATCTGAAAATGAAGAACGTCTCTGGGCTCCTTTTCATTATATTTTATTAGTGAGAGTGAATTTAGTTTTACGCCACACTCAGCAATATTCCAGCTACATTGCGGAGGTCTGTAAATAATTGAGTCTGAACCAGACAATCCAGTGATCAACAGCGTGAGCATCGATCTACGCAGTTCGGATACGATGACATGTGTCAACCAAGTCAGCGAACCTGACCACCCGATCCCGTTAGTCGCCTCTTACGACAAGCATGGATTGCTGAAGACCAATTCTAACCTGGATCTTCACGGGTGTGCGGTAGGGAAACATGATGTGACTGATATCACTCATTACTATCCACAAGGACATATTTACCTGTAGCCTGAGTTCAAGTTCAGCCTTAAGTTCAAAGTATGGTCTGAAAAGAGAGACAAATGTCACGCAAAATCAAATAAAATAATAAAATATATCATTTTAAATAAATAAAATAATACAATATATTATTTTTCTAATTTCTCAAATGTCAATGACTCTGGATACACTGATCCATGTCATATCTATAAAAGTAATCATACAACACTTTGGCGGTGATATCTTTAGTGTGAGTGAGTGAATATGGTTAAAACGCCTCTATTAGCAATATTCCGCCATTATCACGGCGGTTGACATGAAAACAGGGATTCACACTTTGTAATATAACTGTGTGAGGGTGTGGCCTGAGTTTGTGGGTACACCAAGGCCGACTGATTAAGTTCGAGCTTTCAACTTTTCTTCCCGTTTACCAGTTTCTTTCGTCATAAGAAATAATTGAATAAATCAATAATAAATCGTAATTTTAGCATTTAGTTTCCTTAATGTCTGTTATAGTAGAAGGATACCAGATTCTCATTCAGCCTCTCTGGTGAAGTGAATAACTTCAGTTGATACTGATTCTCACAACATTAACCGCTGGTTATTCTCGGCTTGTTGTAATTTTCTGCTTCATATAGTTAGTGAAAATAGTTCCAGAACATGTTACAGGTGCAAAGAAATGATTATTTAAAAGTCCAAACACGTCACCGAACTCATTAATCATAGGGACAAGGGAGACAACTCTCCTACACAGCACCGATATGCATATTCCACCTGTTTCTGGCAAGATCTGAAGATCTGTAGTAATATGGGGGAAAACAAGCAGAATGGAGTTTGCATGCATCGCTTATGAATTGATAATTCAGCTAATTGATAAAATGGATATCGAAGTGCTTAAGACCAGAGAACATACAATAAATTCATTATATGGCCTCTGATAAGACATATATGACTTCGGACGGTGGTCACTCCAAATCCTGGGTCTCAATGCCCCACAAAGATAGAACTTGTGAAGTTCCTTCGTCGTGATTTTGCTTAAAGCGGTGTAAAACCATATTCACTCACGCTGATTAAATACGGCCAATAAGCAGCGTTGGCGCGTGGTGAGTCGCGCATGCGCACCTAACAACGTACACACCGGAAATGGCTTCAGAAAAAAAGTAATTCTGTCCCGAGGAAACAAATTAGCCCATCCTCCCTTCTCCGAGTGTTAGATAATTCGCATCATCAGCACCATCTAAAACCCAAGTACAACACACCTGGCTTTTATGATGGACTTCTTGAACTTCTTCTCCAGATACGCCAGCTTCTTCTCTAGGTCGACGAAGATGTTGGAGCGTCTGAGATGTTCCTGTTCACTCCTTGTCTTCTCTCTCTCAGCGTCCATAACCTGGGGAGAGGACATATAAAAACTGTTACTGTTATATGGACAATTGTACCTGTTGCTAATGGAGACCGTGGGATGGGGGTGTTGGTATGGCAACACTGTAACTGTCCCTATATTTGAGAGAGGACATGGAAACGCTCGAACTGTCCCTATATTTGAGAGAGGACACTGCAATACTAAAACTGTCCCTAAATTTGAGAGAGGACATGGCAACACTAAAACTGTCCCTATATTTGAGAGAAGACATTGCAATACTAAATCTGTCCCTATGTTTGAGATACTAGTAGGTCATGGCAACACGTTGTCCCTATATTTGAGATAGGTCATGGCAACACGTTGTCCCTATATTTGAGAGAGGACATGGCAACACTAAAACTGTCCCTATATTTGAGATAGGTCATGGCAACACGTTGTCCCTATATTTGAAAGAGGACATGGTAACACTGTAGGTGCCCCTATATTTGAAAGAGGACACGGCAACACTAAAACTGCCCTTATATTTTAGGGAGGACATGGCAACAGACTTACCCACGGGACAAAGTAGTTCTGCACATCTGAAAATAAAGTCTGAATTGTACAATTACCTACCCTTATTGTTGCATGGTTGAGCATTTCCTGCCAGGCACTGGACAACATAGCCGCTGATTGGTCATCCATCAACTTCTGTTCAGCCAATGCGATCGTTTCTTTCGCAGCTCGATAAATTCCATTGGCTGTCTGGAACTGACGGGCGGCACGCAGAGCCTCGCTTTGAGCCTGAAATTGAGCATCCAGTGAATAAAAATACGTTTGGAAAGTAGGATATGACAATTAACCAATTCAGCGAGCCTGACCACCCGATGCTCTTCACCAACAACCATGGGCTGCAATAGATAAATTCTAACCCGGGTGTTCACTGGCATCGTCAAACAATCAAGCATTGTTAATGAATTGACTCATGCACTTACCGGTAACACAAACCTATGTATTGCCATCTTTGGTAAAACATATCTGTCCATATCTGACAGTACGCGTGTACGCGTTTTTGTGAATTACGTGAATTATGTGAATTACGTGAATTATGTGAATTATGTGAATTATATGCCTGTGTGTGTTCAAAAACGTAGACCAATCACGCGATTAATATTTGACTGAACCGTTTCGTTATGGCGGTCTTTAATTAGGTTTGATAATACTTTAGATAAAGTCTTATTTAGTGGGCAGATAAAACGCCACCTGAATATTGCTCAAAAAGGAAAGAACTGTATATTTTCCTATTTCATAAAACATTCACTGATGCCACAATTACAGGGCATGCATCAATGACGTGAACAGCGTTCATCCTCCAACATCTGTGAGCCATCCACACATCAAACGCTGGGCTAGGTGGGCTTGCCGTTACGTAGGAAATAATATTTGCCCCCACTATTTATTTTGATGACAACAAACGAAATCATGCTTAGCTTTGTAGGGAAACACATTCAAAGTGGCATGTTCAATTGAGATGCGTTTTACATATCGCTCTGATTGTCCCGGTTGCAGATGTGTAAATACATGGGTGGCTTTGATACAGGGGAAGTGAAGGCCCTAGCGTTCACTACAGGCACGGAGTTAGTGATGTTTAACGCTTGTGTCAGCAATATTACTGCCATATCACGATGGGTTGAGCTATTACATCTATATCGTGGCGGGCTGTAGTCATCAATCTTGTGAGCTATGTGACTGCTGGTGGCATAGTCAGCAATATTTCAGTATATTACAGCGGGTCGGGGTCAGCCATATTACAGCTATATCGCGGCAGGTTGAAGTCAGCAATATTTCAGTATATTACAGCGGGTCGGGGTCAGCCATATTACAGCTATATCGCGGCAGGTTGAAGTCAGCAATATTTCAGTATATTACAGCGGGTCGGGGTCAGCAATATTACATCTATATCGCGGCAGGTTGAAGTCAGCAATATTTCAATATAATACAGCGGGTCGGTTCATATTACAGCTATATCGCGGTCGGAAGTCAGCAATATGTCAGTATATTACAGCGGGTCGGGGTCATATTACAGCTATATCGCGGCAGGTTGAAGTCAGCAATATTTCAGTATAATACAGCGGGTCGGGGTCAGCAATATTACATCTATATCGCGGCAGGTTGAAGTCAGCAATATTTCAGTATATTACAGCGGGTCGGGGTCAGCCATATTACAGCTATATCGCGGCAGGTTGAAGTCAGCAATATTTCAGTATATTACAGCGGGTCGGGGTCAGCCATATTACAGCTATATCGCGGCAGGTTGAAGTCAGCAATATTTCAGTATATTACAGCGGGTCGGAGTCAGCAATATTACATCTATATCGCGGCAGGTTGAAGTCAGCAATATTTCAGTATATTACAGCGGGTCGGGGTCAGCCATATTACAGCTATATCGCGGCAGGTTGAAGTCAGCAATATTTCAGTATATTACAGCGGGTCGGAGTCAGCAATATTACAGCTATATCCCGGCAGGTTGAAGTCAGCAATATTGCGGTATATCACGGTGAATTGCAATCAGCAACAATCAATTATATCACTGCGGGTCGTAGTCAGCAATAGCAAGACGAGGTGAAAACATCAACATTACAGAATACCACGATGGGTTGTAAAATTGACTCATTATAGAATTCGAACATCGCGCTTTACATGTCCACATGACCCATTTGGCTACCTTGCCTTCGAACTATGGTGTAGAAGGGTCGACCTATTCACTGTTATGTCTGCGGGAATCGTCTCCTTATGTGTGATATTTTCTTATTGGGTGTTGGTGATGGGAGGCAGGCAAACAGGCCTGGACGTGTTACTAAGAGCTATATGTATTTCGGTTACGAAAGCCAATGACGCGTCATGTAGCATTACCAAAATACAAAAACACAGAGAAATATTTATCTTCTAAACCCACTCCAGCTGTCAAATTTATAAACTATGGCGTTCCTTGGTATTTAGTCATCTGCGGAAATGAAACAGTGTGACCGAAGTGCAAAGTGTATTAAAAGAAAGTGAAACCCCATTAATCCGGTACAGAAATCGCCATGGTCCGGTTTGAAAAGTGTCCGGATTAAAGTGCCAGGGCGTTATGTAAACTTGTACTTTTGTTGATGCTTTCGACAGTGAGGGGCGGTAAGTCCAAGGTTCGTTCCCCATATGGTAAAAACTGTCGAGCTAATTTGTGAAGTTCTGCGCCGCCATATTGCTGGGATATCACCAAAGGTGTTTTAAAACCATAATTACTCACTCACTCCAACAGTAAAGGGATTTGCAAGCATGGATGCATATTCTTGTGTACTACCTTCACATCGCACCCTACCACTATGTGTACAACAACCCAAACCCTGCGGAGTGAGTGTGTGTGATTTTACGCCGCATTTAGCAGTATTACAACAATATCTCTTCGGGGGGACACCAGAAATAGGCTCCATACACTGTATCCTTATCGGGAATCGAACCCGAGTCTTCGGCGTGACGAGCGAACGCTTTAACCACTACCCTACCCCAACCCTCTGTGCTACCTGTGAAGATCCGGGTTAGAATTGATCTTCAGCAACCAATTCTTGTCGTAAGAGGGGACTAACGGGTTCGGGTGGTCAGGCTCGTTGACTTACATGTCATCGTACCCCAGTTGTGCAGATCGATGCTCATAATGTTGATCACTGGATTCGATTATTTAAAGACCACAACCATATAGCTGCAAAACTGCTGAGTGCGGCATAAAACTAAACTCACTCACTCACACTCATGCTGCTGATCACTGGATTGTTTGGTCCAGACTCGATTATATACAGACCACCGCCATATAGCTGGAATATTGCTGAGTGTGGCGTAAAACTAAACTCACTCACTCACACGCATGCTGTTGATCACTGAATTGTCTGGTCCAGACTCGATTATATACAGACCACCGCCATATAGCTGGAATATTGCGGCATTCAACAACCAACCAACCAACCCTCTGGTTCGTTTAATATGTTTTGTCATGAGGCGTAGGTTTTGATACAACATAACTGACAGCGATATGTTGGCTGCCAGTGTTGAGAGTTCTCAGCACATCCCAAAGTTAGATCCAGCTGTGGGTCCACTTTTTGTTTGTCCAACACTGCTGGCAGTCGCGGCACATTGCTTCCCCTTACAGCACTGGGCGTGTCACAATGGCCTTTGCAACACACGGAGTACAAATGCCAGCCTATTTTCCAGATTGGCCGGGCGCATCAGTCAGTGACATAACATCTCTGGCTGGTGCAGAATCAGTTAGAAAAACACCCCGCCCGCTCTCACTCTCCGCCATTCCAGGAGTTGTCGAATGTGGGAATAATCAGGTCACCTTGACCTTGCGACGAGTGTGCACGTGAGGTTTTGAAATACCACACTCGACGTGTCCTTTTTAGACATCTCTTCATCAATTCAGCATCAGATGGCAGAGATGTCACGTGGTGTTATAACACCAATCCATTCATTTCGGAGATGGACGGTGGCGTGGTCTGGAAACGTGGCTGATTGAAGTGGCTGGAAGAAGTAAGGGAGATAACTCTATTCTTTACTGCAATGATCGGTGACCCAGACAACGGCCGATACAATCCTGAAACTGGTTTCCTACTCCAGTTCACATTGTGACAATGCAATATTTTCCAGATTGCATGAAACCGGATTAGGTAAAAGAATGCACGCCAATCCACGCGAAAAAGTGCAGAAGTGCCGTGAACGGCTCACGCCTCACGTCTCACGCCACGGGGTTAAGTGATTGACCATAACTGTTAGTGTCTCAGGTTGGAACTGAATTATTTTTGTCCCCGGCAAAGCAACACTGTTTGAGTACTCTTTTCGTCGCCAAGTAATGGAGATCAGTGTCACGTTGTCTTGGAGAGCTATAAATAATGAGACATTTAATTCCGCCAGCGATTGGAACCGTATTTCAGGAAAGACATCCATGACTTTGTCCACGTTTACCAACGAAACCAACGAGTACGGGAATAGTACGGATAGAGCAGCAATAATAAACAGAACAAAACTGGAACAAGGAGTGGACCATCAGAGGCTCCTAGCGCGTCTAAGGGACACAACTCTGCACAGCGAACTACGGCCACCTTGGACACATGGGGCGAGGTGAAACTGGACCAGTGAAGACCCAGGTCAGAATTGTCTCGGGATAATAATAATAATAATGAGTGAATTTGTAACGCGCCAATCTCGACGCCAGCTGGTATGCTCATGGCGCTACAAGTAGAGTTATTTGGGTGAGAGTCTAGACAAAGTACTTCTTAAATAAAAACGTTTTGAGGAGAGTTTTGAAGGAGTGCAGGCTTTGGGACTGTTTTGAGATCTTCAGGCAGAGAATTCCATAGAACAGCTGATTGGTAGGCAAATGATCTGAATCCAAATCGTTTTAGGGATCTGGGCACTGTGCACAGAATATGGGACTGGGATCTGAGAGTTCTGGTTGGATTATACTGGCTTACACGTTCACACAAATAGGATGGCGCGATAGCGTTAAGGCACTGGTATGCGAGTATAAGAACTTTAAACTCAATTCTAGCTGAGATGGGCAGCCAGTGTAGGGATCGTAGAAGTGGCTGTATATGTGCAAACTTTGGAGCAAGACACACAATTCGGGCTGCAGTATTTTGTATTTTTTGTAACTTTGAAACAGATTCTTGGGACACACCATACAGTAGGCTGTTGCAATAGTCCAGGCGTGAGAATATCATTGTTCGAACTAATACAGCGGCAGCTTCCTGGGATATAAGATGCCTTACTTTGCCGATGTTTCTTGAATGAAAATGGCATTTTCGACAAAGCTCTTGTATATGACAATCCATACTCAATGTGGACTCTATTTAGACACCCAGATTCTTAACCACAGGTACAAATGGTATACTTTCGTGACACACAGACAGGTGCGTAACACCTACTTTCGTCACCACTGCATCCGTACCAGTAAGCATAGCTTCTGTTTTATCTTGATTCGGGTGGTCAGGTTCACTGACTTGGTTGACACATGGTATCGTTACCCAGTTTTAATTCCAAACAGACCATCACCTTATCTCTGGTGTAACAAGCAAACACAGTATTTCAAAGGTATTTCCTGAGAAGACGTAAATGGTGATTCTGACCTCTATGGCGGCTCCCTTCAGCTGGTAGTACACGCGCGCCCTCTGGATGAAGTTCTTCAGACCACGACCCATTGCCTCCATCTTGTAAGAAGCATCGGAAAACGTCAGTCGGTACTTGGCTCTCGCCTCCTGAGGTGAAAAGTGGATAGAAATAATGAGTTTTTATTCACATGGGAAATTTTCATAGTACATAAGCCCGCTAAGATCTGTTTGTTTGCTTGCTTTTCATGTAAGGCCGCACTCCAACATTCCAGCTGTATGGCGGCGGTCTAAATAATCTAGTCTGAATAATTCAGTGATCAACAGCAGAAGCATCGATCTACGCAATTGGGATAAGATGACATGTGTCAACCAAGTCAGCGAGCCTGACCTCCCGATCGCCTGTTAGTCGCCTCTAACGACAAGCACGGGTTACAAAAGACCTATATAACCCGATGCCTACACATTGAGCCACACTTTCCCTACATTCCCAGGGGTGGAAATAACTTTAAAATTGATTGTGTACTCGGTACAGTGGCACATGTAAAGTCACTTGCCCTGATAAATCTTCCACTATACCGACCGTTTTCTTGCTGACATAATTACCATTGAAAAGTCACCTGGACACCGGTAAAGTGTGATATACAAATTTGCTTGCCCGACAGAAAAAAACACTGGACTCGGACGTCGTTCAATGGGTTATTTCCATCCCTGATTCCAATCAAATTCGAGTATTTCACGTAGTCATGGAATAATGTTGCTTAACGTCCTTACCCCCTTTCCGTTCTCACACACACACACACACACACACACACGCACACACGCATGCACACACACACACGCACGCACGCATCACTACCCCTTCTACTCACATCGATTTCGTTCTCCAGTCTGTTGATGTCATTGCTAGCGCTGTTAAGCATGTCAAGTTCCTCCTGCAACAACAAAACAACACTCATAAAACAACATCCTAAACACAGGTTATATCCATGATATTACATTTCTATAACGAAACATTAATAAATACTGCATATTAAAGACCATATCCTTCCGAGAAACAATTCGAAAAAAAGAATAGAAACCCCATACAACAAATCAACAGGCACTTTCGTGAGCATCACCTGTTGTTGCGGCCATTGACTTGTATGTCCGCTTCAACTACTGTAGTCTCTAAATCACGAGTTGTCCCCCTTTGGTCGGTCAATGTTTGGGTCAAACTTTTTAGTTCGGGATATTTCCGCAGGGCAATGTGGGTCGATTAGGTCGCCTCTTACGACAAACATAGGTCACTATTTACCTGTTATCTATTTTCCCGGGATTATTACAGGGCCGTGCTAAAACCGACTGGGGTTGGCTGTGAGACGAGCTGACATTTAAATATGTGGGACGAGACCGGAATGCATTCAACAGTACTGGAAATGTCAAACTACAAGAGACGTGGACTAGGAGTATCTGGGGCATGAATAATGTCTGGATATAAGTACGATGTAAGTGTGAAAGTATATATCTAGCAGATTCGTTAAATACAAATTTAGTTCCTCAAAAATACTAAACATTGAGAGTGCACGTGAATGTTCACGATATTAAGGTATTCTGGAATAATCGAGTGAGTGAGTGAGTTTAGTTTTACGCCGCATTTAGCAATATTTCCAGCTATATGGCGGCGGTCCTGGAATAATCGAATACGGGCGAGGCAAACCAGTGGTTAATATCACGAGAAACATCCTGGCATTGTGACAAATAGTACATGTATACAGTTTAACACTGTTCTGTCGAAGTTTGATGTGTCGATTTACGGTTGTGTCGAAGTATAAGCTTGGTCCCCGCAAATTCCTGTTTTGTCACAACTTTGCGTTTGTATCGAACCTCGTATAACTCGAAGTATTATGTAGTTCCCTTGACACAACGGTGTTTGATCACACATCACCATATCCTAGAGGGCTCTGACCTCTGACAAGGTGAGTGGGTGAGTTTAGTTTTACGCCGCACTCAGCAATATTCCAGCTATATGGCGGCGGTCTGTAAATAATCGAGTCTGGACCAGACAATCCAGTGATCAACAGCATGAGCATCGATCTGCGCAATTGGGAACCGATGATTTGTGTCAACCAAGCCAGCGAGCCTGACCACCCGATCCCGTTAGTCGCCTTTTACGACAAGCATGGGTTACTGAAGGTTCATTCTAACCCGGACCTTTACGGGTCTGACGACAAGGCATGATCTAGATACTATAACGCTTTTCTCGTCAAACTGTGTGTTCTTTGTGTAGCTTGTACTCTGTCATTGTGTGACGAAAGAGCCCCTATTTGACCCTTACTCTCGAAACGTTCGTAGCCCTAAGAATCCTTAACTTTGATTGTAGCCAATGTGTTAAGAATGGGCTTCAGAAGTTCGTAGGGCTACGAACGTTTCGAGAATAGCTAGCCTGGGAATTATATATACAACGCGGTATCCATCAAAACCATACATTAATGTGGTAAAACGTATGTGAGGTGAGGTGAGGTGAGGTGAGGTGAGGTGAAATTGGGTTTAACGTCGTGCTTGAGAATATTTCGCTCATATGACGACGTGCATGCGTGTGTATGTGTATGTGCGGCTGCTTGTACTATAGTACTATAGTACGGCTGCTTGTTTTATAGTGCTAGCCCACTGAGATACCATACTGCAGTGAAGCATGAATACCCCACTCAGACACATTATACTGACTCCGAGCCGACCAGTCCTTGTTGTACCCATGAATGCCGAGCGCCAGACAGGGACCAAGAAGTACCATATTTTAACGTCTTTTGGTATGACGCGGCCGGGGATCGAACCCGCGACCTTCCGCTCTCCGGGCGGACGCTCTAACCACTACACCACGGAGGCGGTCTAAAACGTATGTAGTGAGTGAGTGAGTAGGTTGGGTTTTACGCCGCTTATTTGTAGCAATACTCCAGAAATATCATAGCGAGGAACACAAGAAAAAAAGCTTCACACATTATACCCATGTTCAGAATCGAACCTGGTATTTCGGCATGACGAGCAATCGCTTTACCCACTGAGCTTCCGGTATGTATAGAAACATGTCTGTCCGCATCTTCAGACACAGTGGGGGCGGTGGGGTAGTCTAGTTGGCTCGTCACGCCGAAGACCCGGGTTCGAATCCCCACATTGGTACAATGAGTGAAGCCCATTTCTGGTGTCCCCCCGCCGTGATATTGCTGGAATATTGCTAAAAGCGGCGTAAAACCAAACTCAGTCAGTCAGTCAGACACAGTGGTGCATTACCCTTCAGCAAAGGAAATCCAACAGTGGCACAAGGAACGGCTTTTTTCGGTTACTGAGTTCAGCGAGTGAGTTAAGTTAATATGTAATGTCACATCGGCAATTATTGAATTCAGCATTATATATTTCAGTAATATTAGTACATGTCAATGTAATGTGGGATAAAAGATCAAAGCGAGCAAACGAGTGAGTGAGTTTAGCTTTACGCCGCTTTTAGCAATATTCCAGCAATATCACGACGGAGGATCCCAGAGATGGCCTTTCTGCATTGCATCCATATGGGGAATCGAACCTGGGACCTCGGCGTGGTGCAGGTGGTATAAGTGAACCATTTTGGGGCACTGGCTTCGAACCCAGACAGGCATACATTCACAGTCAAGTCAACAGGAGTGTTAGCTAGTCTAGTCCACAGGCCACCGGGATATGTAGTGTCATGTCAGTAGGTAACTGGGACACCCGGAGATAAGAAGCAATACCGCACACACACGAACTTCCCCGTGCCACTTCCGACGATGTGTCACTAACCACGACCTCATCGTGTCACTAACCACGACCTCATCGTGCGACCAAGTGTATTCATATCACAAAGGTCATGAGTGCAAATCCTAACTTAAGTGAGTGAGTATGGGTTTAAGCCGCTTTTAGCAACATTCCAGAAATATCAAGGCAGGGGACACCAGAAATGGGCTTCACACATTTAACCAATGTGGGGAATCGAACCTTCGAGGTGACGAGCGAACACTTTAACCACTAGGCTACCCAGCGCCACTCTTACACTTAAACAAGACAATCCGAAACTGACAGCCCCTCTGCTCGTGCTGCACGTGTTTGGACCATTTGTCATTAGACAATAGTGATAAGAAAAAAAAACATAAAGGTCATATGGATCATGATATGTTATATTCGTGCTATATCGTAATCTACCTCAAGATCGGAAAGAAATTTAAACAGTCATCAACGTCTGACCCTCCACCAGAAACATTTCCGGGTACGACTCAAAGGGCATAACTCGGGAAAATATAAAACCCGAAACATAGTGAAATTTGAGTGAAAAATAAAACGAATTCATGTCAGCTTTTCCAGATGACAGTTCTCAAAGGACCGATTGATTCATATCTACTATGTAACAACACTGATTATATACTGACAGGCAAAAACAAAGGAACACGGAACACCATTATTTGCTGTGGTACATGACAAGTGTGAATAGATCACGTCAACAGTTCAAGTCATTCAGTGCATTATGTGTAATTCTATCTGCTCATGTAAACTCTAAATGTACTACAGGCCTGTGGCCTTTTTAAGTACTAAAATAAAGATTGATATGTGTACTGTAATTTCGCCAATATCGGATATATTTTGGGAAAGAAACGAAATTTCTTAGCAAACCTTCCTGAGAGACGTAACTAAACTTCATTCGAAGAATAGATTTTCCTCGATCACGAAAACACCTCATCCTTCGTCAACCCAGTCCGTTAGTTTGAAAGACAACAGCTTACAGCCTACCTGTACACATCCTGTGGACTCCATCTTGTTAAACTGCTAGACTGAGAATAAACGTATTGTCAGGTCCGAACTGTACCATCTGAGATGACAGACACCGTCCTCACTGTGGCTCACACTGTCGCCAACATCAGCCGCGAGATGGGACAAAGGTTAAAGGTCATGAGTGATAACGGATAACGGTCATCACACGAGGGACCGTCTCAACACCATGAATGTCAATTAAATCAAGCGGCGCTGTCAATATTTCATCGCTCGTTCCCCATGGGGCGGTCGCGAATAAAACACCTTATCAGATAAAATGACGTTGCATAACGATTACATCGGTACTGTTGGGTTGATAATGAGGGAGTTGGATAACTGGAGTTTACTAGTGATGTACATTACGCCAAATAAAGTAGGTTATTTGTTATAAGTTATTGTTTATTTAAACCACCTGGTTCAAGTTGTACTTGGATGCGCATGAGCGTGGCAGCTTGATGATACAGTATTGGATTATATCTACCTATCATTTGCATCTATTGTGATCAGGTAACGTTTACGGCAGGTGTTGCTGGTTTTGTATAGTTATTCTATCATGTTTACAGATATAAAAGAGAATATACTGCCACCAGGTTTTAGCGAAATAAGCTTTGAAACTAATAATGACTAAGCGGTTTGAATGTAATATCACGAGAGTGCGGAGTGATGGTTTACGCTCGCTCGTCATGGGGAGTTTGACGCGTTATTGATGTAATTATTAGATATTAGGATGGCAAAAAGAATACATGTTGTGTTTGTATCGGGGATCGATCAACTTCCAATGCATTATCCTATTTGAGCCACGATGCAATTTTGTTTTAACCACCGACCAGCCGTTAACTATCATCACCTTGTTCGCTATGGATCCCAGCCTTTTTTAACCCTATTCCCCATGTTATCACCAGGCTGCCTATAAACCCTACCTCAACCATCACCGCAAAGTCACTCATCAGCCCAACGTTAACCATCACCCCTTTTTAACCATCGTGCCTTTGTTAACAGTCACTACTTTGCTATCAAGCCTACTATAAACCAACACGATCAATTGGTTAACCGTTAGCTCATCATTTAATACAGGCTCTATGCCAACCGCGGTCCTTCGTTAACCATCACCCCTAACTGGACTCTCATCCCTTCGTTAACCATC